TATTTATACGTCATCCTCATTTTAATATTTTGCAGAATTTCAAATAAAGCCCATTTTTAGTTATTGTATTTTACTTTGTTTAATTTCAGCTATGGACACCAAATTGGATTCGCGCCAAGGACAATTTCCGGCTTCCTTTCCGGACACTTTTAAGGATTTCTTTGCAATGATGAGTGAGGACGAAGACCATCTTGATTTGTTTTCGAATTTGCTGGAAGATAAGGTAATAATCGTACTACTTTTGCACTACTATTTGCACAGTGAAGATGCATATTAAATAGGAAGCACAAGTTTGATCTTAAAAATGGCATTAATATTTATTTTTTTACTAATTGTATGTGCTTATTGGTTTTACTTTGTTGAAAAAAATATTGTTTGTCGATTGTTCGTAGCTAAACCTTTTGATAAATATTCTTTTAGCTAGAACCAGAATCCCAATTTTATGTAGACAACAATAAGTAGGAAGAAAGCTGTTTTTGAAAGCCTCCCCTAAATGAAAAGTTCGCGTACTTACACCTTCGAATTTACATAAAGTACTTTTGCAAGGAAGTTTCGAAAAAAAATTTTTTTTTGTCGCGCGTTTGGCTCTCCTTTATATTTTTCGTCATATTTTCGGCATTTAGAGCGTGATTTTAAAGTATGTTGCATCGAGGGACAATTTTATCTGTTCCAATGTTGATTGACCTCAAGTACCTACCCACCAGATCTCAGTTCCTACCACCCTAACTTACCTAATACCAGTAAATAAAAGCTCGGCAAAAGACATCAAACTTTTGCTAAGGAAGTACATATTTCGAAACGAAGACTACTTCGATTATTTTTGCCGAGGCTTTTGCCCTTTTTCGTCATACCTTCGACATTTGCATCGAATCTTAAAGTATGTCTTTGTCTCGAGTGGGCAATTTTTTTTGCAAAGCTTATTGATCTCAAGTATCCCGTTCAAGTACTGATTAAAATGATTAAACTTTTTCCTAGGAAGTGTTTTGATTGTTCCACTAGAAATATTAAAAAAAAAAATATTGCCGAATGTAGATATCAGGCGACCACTAAGTACGACTAAGAAAGTAGAATAGTTTTCGAAATGTACCGCGAACTTTTTTTGTTTGCTTACGAGGTGCTATAGTCTAATATACAAAAAATAGGTACATGGAGACATCTCTTGAATTCCTGCTAAGGCAAGGGCATTTATTTTGCTCAATTATTTATTATTAAATGTTGACAAAATAAGGTATGACCGCCAATAAGTACACATGTATATACTAGGGATGTGTCGGATAGAGATTTTACCGGATAACCAGATTCCGGATACCATGTAAAAAATAAGAGCCGAATTCGGATATTCGATCGGATATCCGGTAGACTGCTGCCCTTTACAAATTTTGCAATATTGTTATTGTTATTGTTTAGCATTATCATGAATTTTCATTTCGTGTCAACTTGTTCACATTTCGGCAATGCAGTTAACCTATTTTATGCTGAATATTCACCAAGCTAAGTATGTAGTTCACTCTTAATCATTTTCCTACTATCGTATGCCGTATTCACCAGTGAAATAACTGTCACTCGCACAAATGTACGAAATACTCGTACGTACCAAAATGTATTCAACAAAGTGTGATTGATTTTGACATTGCTCTCATAACACACAGGCTATAATGTCAAACTGAAATGAATTCTTAACCCATTTGAATTTTTTTTTTTTTCAAATTTGAATTTGTTTAAAAAAAAAGTTACACACAAATTTTTCAAGCAACAAATTTTCTTAATAAACGTGAAATTGTTAAGAGATAAACCGCCGAGGAGAGCAAGTAAGTACGTTTAAAGTTGGGTAATAAGTAAATACGTTCGACTTTTCTTATATATTTAATGTAAGGAAACCAAGATCAAACGGAGCAAAACGTTTGAACGGTGCGCAGTAAGCAATAAAAAGGACACGAAATTAGTGCGATGTTTTAAACCACCTAGTTGTGAATTAAGATGGCAGCGATCTGAAGAAAGCTGTGGTGTTGTACTACGTGTTTCATCTCGCGTTTGTGAAAACCACTTCAAGGAATGTGATTTCATTAGTTGTCCGTCCGAATCAAGCACTTTCAAACGAGCTCGTTTATACCCAGGCGCAGTCCCAATGCCATACGAAATAACTGAAACAAGTGAGGATTTAGAACGCGATCAAGATACATTATTTGTTGATGTCCAAACTCAAACAGGCCAGTCTTTAGAATGCACGTTGAGAACAGAAATATTTCTTCTTACCGAAATAATTAAAACCATGCAAGCAAGTATGGAAGAGCTTAATTTAAAACTGCTTGAAGCAAAGTCTCTAATGGAAAACTATTTCGCATGAAAAAAAATCTAATTTCAAAATTGTTAGAGTTAAGCTCACATATAAAATTGGAAATAAATGTAAAATCCTACTTTTATAAGCGTCGCATAATGTTTAGGATAAAAAATTTAAATATAAAAATAAACACACAAAAGCATAAAACTTCAGCAATTAAAAACAAGAAAATTGCTAAAACTATTTTATAAACAACTTGTTTTATTTTATTGACAAAATATATATATTCCAGGTAATGTAAGTAAAACAAAACTATAATCGAAATAAAAGCCTAGGGCATCAGTGCTGACAAGATACATGCAAAACTAAGGGTTAATTCGTTTGTTTATACTTTTTGACATAATAGTAACTTAACAGAGAGCCGCACTGAATTGTCAATCACACCTTGTTTAATGCACCTTGGTACGTACGCTCAAAATTGAAATTGTATTTAATGAATTTGACTGCTGTTATCCCGACATTGAAATTTCTAGGTGAAATGCCATTCACCCGAAAATATTATTTACCCGAACTATTTATTTATTATTTTTCGCCGGTGAAAATTTATACCGAATATTTATGATAAGGCTGATTATATTTTTCCGTTTACCGACATACTTAGGACCAGATTATCTGCTTTTTTTAGAGCTGAACCATGATTCAATAACGAAATGTTTTGTAGTAAAAACTTTCTCTCATTTTATCAATAACACTCGCATCCTACCCCTAGAAACAAAAGCAGTGATATTTCTTTTCCAAATTTCTTTACAAGTTTTAATAAAACTTTAAAATTTTTATAAGTGAAATTTTTACTTTTTAAATTTTAAGAAATGTTTCTCCTTCATTTACTGGCGACAACAAGACAAAAAGGGTGAAAGAGACGAAATTCCCTTAAAAGCCGAGATATATTTGTCGACATTCGTGGAGACCTATTTATTCTGCCAAGTCGCTGTAAAGTAAAGCCCACAAATGTTCTGGTAAATGAGTCAATGAAGGTATTTAGGCATTGACCTACGCAAAACAATCCTGGTGTCTCCGAGTAACTTTGACGCAATATAATATACCCATGGGCTCGGTTTAATTACTCGTAATGTTGTAATTGCACACTTACGGAACTTCTCATTTGACGGTGTAGATCACGTTCCTGCCGCATTCGTTCAGTAGCTGCGTGCCCTTTTCATTCTACCTGAGTTCGACCAGAACGAATCGCCAATTTCGACTGTGCTAGTCAACGTTTGATATTCTTTTTCATCGGATAGGTCCGATAATTGGATCGTGACGAACTTAACGATAATCTTAAATTTTTATATGAGAATTGATGTCGGTTTGTTTTTTGCTTAAAAATTACTGGTTTCTGACATCAATTTTTGTAGTGCTTTGGAGAGTCTAACGATTGGTAGCCAATGCAGCGACCGTACAAAAAAAAAAGTCAGCGATTTAAAAATGGAAAAATATTTACAGCTATCCCTTAAGATCATTTAATTTGGTGGAAGCATAATCGTAAAGAATTTCGAAATTTGTTTATACTGGCAATGAAGTATCTCTGCGCATCACCTCCCTCAGTGAACTGAGAAAGTGTGTTTAGTGCATCGGGTAGCATTTATGTTGAAAATAGAAATATATTTTTGCCCGATAATTCGAAAATGCTTCTTTTCTCAATGAAAAATATTAAAATGGTTCACCTACCGTTAGTAAAACGGCATCTAACATTAAATTGGATTAAAAAAGACAAAAAAAAAATTAATTTCTAAACTAGATTTTTAAATTGAGTCTTCTACAATCGAAATCTGGAAATCCGGCCGAATTTTAGCTAGTATCCTGCCGGATAGTCGGATAATATAAAAACGGCCGGATAAGCCGGATTCCGGATATCTAGCAGATACCCGGCACATCCCTAGTATATACCTAAATAAATATGTATATTGTATACAGATGTAATCTCGAAGAAGTTCTGAAAATCCCGTTACGTAATGACTCCGAGATCAGTTTGTAAAGTAAACCTGCGATTAGTATATCACTTTAGCTATTCTGTTAAATATGGAATGAACTGTTACCTTTTGTTCAAGAAACTAGTAATTGAAACGAAACTAGTAACTTTTTAGTAATGCAAATAAAAATTAAAATTACTTTCAGGTGAGGCTCAAACGGGCGCGCTCAGAGTTGCTACCAAAGAACGTATATCGACCCCTTTGGGCAAAATTATCGTATGTTACAAAAACCAAATTTGACAGGAAAGTGTTCTTTGTATTTTTGCTAGTTGCTAGTGGGTTGTAAAACAAAGTAAAATTGAAAAAAAATTGTCATTAAATTAATTTTAAATGGCGCACATAGTAATAGCTTTAATTTAGAAATCAAAAGGCCAAATACTTCAAATTGCTAGTAAAACAGAGAAGAAATGAGTGAAAAATTTACAGTTAATGTGGTACACCGATTTTAATAAGATTATATTGCAAAAACAACAGTACAAACACAAATATATAGTATTATAGACAGGTCATTCATCGAAAGTCAATGAACACCTTTAAAAGTGAAAGATTTTCGTTCGGCTTTTCTTTTATATTTTAAGTAATTTTCTGCAGTGGAAAATGTTCCACTATTCAGATATAAAATTAATAAAAATATTTTATTTGGATTTTCAATAAAATATATATTTAGAATTTTTATATTCTGGTATTAAATAACTAGCTAAAAACCCAGTTTATTCGATTGTAAAAATCCAGTTTACTCGGTATTTGAAAAATCAAGTTGATAAAAATGCCTAAAAATATATAAAAATAACCGGTTGAAAAAACGTTCACGCCTATGGGATATGCCATGCCCCCTTCGCTAAGCCCATTTTTATACATATAAACTATC